GAATAACACAGTTTTAAACCTGCTATAGAGATGAACAGGCTGAGGGCCACCTGACACGGGGGTGCCCAGGGCTGCAGAGCAGAGAGAATTTGCCGGGAGGCCACTGCAGTGAACTGCTGCTCCAGACAGATAAGCCTGGTCACACCTCAGAATTCATTAACTTAATGCTGGATGGCAATTCCACAAAGGAATGGACCCACACACACACACACACACCCCCACCCCCGCCCCATGAGGCCACCCCATCAGTGCAGCTTCTGCTGCCTGGGCCTGCAAATTCTCCTCACACACCTGCCCTCAGGGGCAGCAACTCCTGCCCATGGTGACTGAGCAAGCAGCTACTTCTTCTCTCCCTTTCATATATTGTTAGGGTCTGTATGTGGTTCCTGATCAGAGTCAGAGCAGCTTAAGAATATTTGAGTTACCACAGATGAAAGAGAATTAAAGTTTGGTTTTACATAATTACTGATATTAAGCTTAGAAAGTCATTCTAGCACATAGCATTTTCACTGCTCTCAGACCTTCAACACTTTCTTTCTTTCTTTTCAAGACCTGCAAATTACTATCTCCAACATATTTCTTTGTTATTAAACACACAGCTCACTTTACTTACTTATAAAATTTTAGCTTTTACAGTATAGAGCAGGGTAAACCCGAAAGTCAATTTTCCTCACAATAAGGAGGAAAACATAGACATGAATGCGAGGACAAAACAGATTTCATTTTAGTTATTTAGTTACACTTTAGGTGACACACACTTTTAACGACTTGATGTTTAAATAACTTAGATTTTGGAATAGAACAGAAGACGATTTCAAGAAAAAAAAGAACCAGTTACCCTGGCTGGGTTGGGGGGTGGGCTGTGTCTGCCCCATCTGGAAAGGGCTCAAGAGACCAACAGTTAAAAGGAAAAAGACAAGAAGTATAACAGCAACACCGCAACCACTCACGCACACAAACTTCCAACACTTTCGGACCGGTCCTTCGTTCACACTGGGTGCGTGCCCGGCCACACACAATTTCCTCACCGCTCTGCTTGGAAATGAGTCCAAATGGCATCCACTTTATAGTCTGCCATTCAACCTGTTCGTCACCTGGCGCCAGGATTCCAGAAAACCCGATCGTGCTCGAGCCCAGATAGAGGTGGTTGGACCTCTCCAAATGAGACCTCCCTTTCGAAGGTCTCACCAAACGAGAGCCTAACGGTCCTCCTTCTCTGGGGACTGTCCAGGTACTCCGCCGCGGCCCCAAACGAGAGTGTGGAGAACACTCTCAAAATCCAAAAATCCTAGGATCCAGAAATAGGCTCTACTTTTCTTGCAGAGGGTCTGTCCCCTCGCAGAAGCAAGATCCCGGAGGAGCCCCCAAATGTTAGGGTCCGAGAACTCGATTACCGCGAAAGAGTGTCACACAAGAATGCAATTCACAAAGTAGAGTTAATTGGGCTGGCTAGCCAGGGTCAAGCCGTACCCCCAGGACACTCCACTCTGCACCACTCAGACCCGCCCAGTCCTTGGGGCTCAGCCAGAATCCAGAGCAGCGCGTCAGCGCCCCCGTGTGGCCACAGGGCTGAGCGCAGGCGCCCAGAGCTGCCCTTTCTCCTGCTCAGCCAGGCCCCCCAGGGCGCCCTGGGATCCCAGCTGCAGGACAGGGATCTGCTCACAAGGAGCGCCCAAGTCCTGGGACAATTTAGTGTCAGTTTCTCCAGTCAATGACTTTGGACTTGGGACATAACCAGGTCTCCAGGTCATAACAACTGGTCCCTAGGTTCTGGACAAATCCCCCATATATAGGTTGCCTCTTGAAATGGAAACTTGGGACTCCACTCATCACTTCATCGCCTTAAAGTGTTAGTGGCTTGTACCAAATCACTTCAGCAGCTGAACCACAAAGATCTGGCATCTCGCATTCTCTGAGGGTCATTCTCAGGGGCCTCATTTAGGGGCTCCAGCTCCGGGTCCCCGAGGCTGCGCTGGGGGCGAGGTGTTGACGGCTCTGAAGGCCGTGACCAGCATGGAAGGACCTGCCCCAGAGCCCGGTCACTGGCTCCTGGAGAAACCCTCCGGTCCTGTCCTGGGGCGTCCCCTTGGCTGGTGTCCACGTGGGCAGGGGTCACCCAAGAGAGTGACCAGAAGGGCCCAGCAGGAAGTCTCAGCCCTGGGAGCTGACACTGTACGTGGCATGTCCCCTCTGCTTCAGCCTCTCCCTGGGGAAGAGCCAGCGAGTCAGACACGCTCATGGGGGCCCCTCTCTCCTCGGTGTATCAGAGACTCTGTGGGAAATCCAAAACCAGCACAGCCACCTCCTGGACACCAACTATGTCCACTACTCACCGCCGCCCCCCCCCCAAGGCCTCTAAAGTCTCCCCTATCACAGAACACTATGACCCGGTATCTCCCCAGGTGGGTCAGGACCTCAGACGAGGCGCCTGAGGATTTGTGCAGGAGGCCCCTGTGCTCAGCCCTCCTGGGCAGAGGCTGGATGGGAAGGGACAGTTTGCAGCCCACGAGTCCTCCGTGTTAACATGATGGAAGTACAGACACGGGGCAACCTGCAGAACCATGTGTTACATATATTTTAAAGCAACTTTACTGACATATATAACTTATGACCACAGAGTTGCTTGGTGAAGGACACTCGTGAATACCAAGAACCCCCGTGACGCTTGGTGAAGGACACTGGCGTCCTTTGGGTAAGTGCAGACAGGGCAGCCATCCAATATCTAACCTGAGGACATCTCAGTCACCACAGCAAATCGTGTTTCCTGACCCTGGCCCTGGGGCGCCACTCCTCCTCGTCCCCTCCCAGCCCTGGCAGCTGAGCACACTTTCTGCCTAAGGGTCAGGCCTGGGAACTTCCCTCTAACACACCCCAGGCGTCTCTGACGGCACAGACCTTCTGTCCGGCTTTGGGGATCCCTAACCCAACACATGCGACACCCAGGAGCGTACCCCACAGGGTGCCGGGGTCACCGAGAGTCATGATCCCACCCTGGAGTGTCTGCAGCCTGGGGTGTGAGGAGAGAAGGGCTGCAGTGGCCAGGCTCCCTGCCTGCCCCTCTCAGCGCCTCCACCAGGTGGCGCTCCACGGGCATCTTGTATTTATTATTCACTAAGCAGCTGCCCCCACACAGCTTTGAGTGATTAATTCACAAATGTTTATTCACTGTCTGCAGCTCCACCCTGGGGAGCTTCCCCCTGCCCCTGTGCGGTGTCCCCAGGGCGTCTGTCCTGAGATCCCCCAGGGCTACACTAATCACGTGTTGTGTCCCTGATACCCAGCACTCATGCCCACAGTTGACATCTGTTTTCACCTGACTCCTCATCCCTCTAGCAATAACCCCTCAGCGAGAAAGTCTGAGATGTGTGGGGAGAAACAGAAGCCCTCTGCTATGTGGCCCCTCTAGAGTGATGTCATGATGGCCACAGCCAGGGGTCAGACCTCCTGCTCACTCCCAGGCAACTTAACAACATGTGGCCTCCTGGGCATGGAGTGGGCCATCCCTGAGAGGACCCACCCCACTCTGGTGTGTCCAAGGGATGTGAAGCCATGGAGGCCTCAGTCCCTCAGCTCTGAGACCTCACTGCAGCTGCCATAGCAGGGGGCCTGGGTGGTTCAGAGCCTGGGTTCCTACTGTGTGGCCTGGGCTGGTCTGAATCTCCATCCGCAGGCGTCAGTTACGCTGGGTGAGAACATCTGACAACGTGCAAGTGTCGCGGGTGACACTGGACACGCTGTGCCGATGTCTGTGTCATGTTCACTGTTGGCGCCTTGTTCCCTTTTTATTCACTCTATGAAAACTCAATTCAACATGTTCTCCTGCTCCCAGGATCTTACAGTCTGCACTGCATTCATTAGAGCAATTGCAAAAACAAAATAAATTTTACAGTAAAAAGAAAAATCCTACCTCAAATCTCAGAAGCCAATGATCCAACTTCTTTTTCTATGCATCTTCCCAGTGTGGACCATCAGTTCCAGGACATTCATGCTGAACAAATTTCTAAAAAAGGAAGGGAGGAAGGGAGGGAAACTAGACTGGATTTATCTGAGACCCTCTCCCTGTTGCATTTGGCGGGATACCCTAGAATGATGGGAGAGCCCAGAATGAGAAACATAATTTCCCCCACTGTTACCCTTCCCCCAGGAGCTGAGGGGGACCCTGCTCCATGTCTCCCTCCTTCCTGGGCCTCAAACAAAGGCTCAGCTCAGTGACTGGGGTGACCTGGGCTCCTCCTGACCCTGGGCCAGGCCAGCAGGGCACAGAATGCCCCTCCCAGTCTGTGGGGCTCTCTCAAGCTCTGCTCTAGAGAGGAAGCGGCTGCAGCCCACAGAGGAAGTGACCCCTGGGAGACAGAGGGGGTGTCTGGGTGGAGCTGCCCTTAACCAATGGAGATGAGTATGCAGTGAGCATTAGAGGAAAGAGAGAGCTATCAGGGGGAGCTGTCTCTAAGCCCAGCAGGGTAGCTGGAACAGGGACACAACCCCATGCTCCTCACATCTAACCAAGAGGTTACTCCTACCCCGACCCCTTCCTCAGGTCCTCTGCTGCTCTAGACTTGCTCCAAACCTGTTCTCTATAGACTGTACTTATCCGGGTATTGTGATGACACTCTCCACTCTGAGGGGTTTGAATTCACTTATGCTGGGGCTTGGTGTGTGACTGTCCTCCCATTGTCTATGTCGTATGCCCTGTCCCCTCTCTTTCTCTCTCTCTCTCTCTCTCTCACACACACACACACACACACACTCCCCTCCTTGGGACCCAGACCCTCCCTCACACTGGGGTTTACCTGATCTCTGTCTCTGGCTTCCCTCAGAGCTCCCCTCTCTGCAGTGTCTCTACTCAGGGGGGGGTCTGAGCACCCCAGGAGTCCCTGCCCCTCCCACCTCTGACCTTGTAGGAAATCAGCCCTCACCCCACGTTCCATGACAGTGAGGAGGCCAAGGCAAGTCCTGAGGTCACTGATGGGTGGAGGAGACAAGTCACTTTTTCTCTTGATTGAAAAGTTTCATTTTATTTATTACTGCATTTTTGTAAGGTAAGATACATTTGCACATTGTACATGATTCATTGGTACAGCTTCACACCTCCTCAGGTGTTACCTCACCTCTCCTACCCTCAAAGTACCCACAGTCTTCAATCCTAGTGCTTTGGACCCTCTAGCCCCTTTTGCTCCCCATGCTCACTGCCCCCCACTCTGGTAGCCTCAGTTCTGCAGCCAGACTCCAGGAGTTTAGTTTGGTTTTAGCTCCTCCTTTGCACTGTTGCTTCATGTCACACACATCAATGAAATCACCTAGCATTTGTTGTGCTCCTTCTGATTCCACTGAGTCTGCTTTCTTCCAGTTCCTCCATGATGTTATAAATTTAAGATTTCATCATTTTTCACAGCTGAGTAGTAGACCGTTGTGTATCTTATACCACATACTTTGATCTACTCATCTATTTTAGGCACACAAGTTGATTTCATGCTTTGGCCATTGTAAGGATCTTTGCAGTAAACACAAGAGTACATATATCTAGTGTCCAGCCTTTCTCTTCCTCAGTCATCACTCCTGGGGACCCTTCCATGCTCAAGGCTACAAATATCTTTACGCCATATCAGCCCAGATCTATTTCTTAACTCAGATAGTGAAAAGAGTTAGAACCGACGACAGACCGACAAAGACTCAAAAATTCAGAACTGCAGAAAAATGCAAAGAATTTAATACACTCGTGAGTGGGCTTGAGGCAAGAGGAAGGCCAAGAGCCCCGAGCTATTACAGTGAGCAGTTTTTAAACAGTATTTTAGGGAAGGGAGGGGGTACATTTCAGAGGCATGGAACGAGGAAGTTACAATGGTTTTTAGGATGGCGACCGGATGTTGCTGTTTTTCCCAGAGGTAGTTATCTTTTGGTCAAAAAGGAATTCTTCCCTGCTGAACAAGTCGGGTCTGGTCACAGAAAAGCCTCCTTATTTTTGTCGTTTTTACAATAGTTTATCTGTATTCACACTTGTCTCTCCTGTTGCCACCATCACTGCATTTCTAAGAGAGCTCAGATTTATATTTCTTAAACCAAATACCGAGGATGCCTACAAATGGTTCTTCTGGAGTCTTCCCCATGTCACTGCAGGCTCCACCTCTCTGCCTGTACAATCTGACACTGGGTGTCACACTTGACAACTTTCTCACAACCCAGCAGTAGGAAACGTTATAAAGTCCATCTCTAAATATGCACAGTCCCATCAACTTCTTATTAGTTTCTAGCTTCCCTCTCATCCCCCAACGTATTCTGGAGGCAGCACTGGTTTCCTACATTTACTCTCCCACCTTTCGCCTTTGATACTGCACAGAAGTTGGATGGAGGTTTCTAAAGAGAAGTCGCAGCTTGATCTCTGCATAGAAGATCTTGTCACCGCACTCTGTCAGAGACCAGCTCCAACTTTTGAGGTGTCCGGAGGCAACGCAGGCAGGACCCTAAGATGGGAAGGCGTCGGTGTGCAAAGATTCCAAGAGGGGGAGAGGAGTGGGAGTGAGGAAGACAGGGGAGTCGGAGTTGGGTGCAAATCTTCCTGCTCTGCCTTCAGAGGAGGTTTATTTTATACATTTCCAGCAGGCAGGGGGATGGCATTAGCATACGAAAGGGGTTAAGATCACAATCACCTTTTTTCTAAGAAAATGGTCTGGGGTCTCAGGAAGAGGAAATTTCTTGCTAATCAAGAAACTTGCTAAAAGGTTTCAAGAAAGTTTCCTTGAGGTCTAGGCATAATTTGCTCTGGAATAGGAGATGTAGGTGAATTTCCTTATCTAAAGACTAGATAGTAGAATCCTGAAAGACTAGCCAGAAAGACTTTTGTGGATTGCTTTGAAGTGTAGCAGGTAAAAAACTTGACTAGCTCTAAAACAGGCAACCTGGATGAATTTCCATATCTAAAGCCAGACAGTAGGAAGTTTGAGTAATTCTGTAGAAGCTGAATAGGAGGCTAGGTGAGATAGCAGAATAAGATTAGGGTTTTCCTCTGTCCAGCAGTGAGAGACTTTGCAGAAACAGCCCTTTTGTTTTTATTGATCAGCCAGTTGTTAAGTCACTTTTGACTTCAGAAGAATTTCTCACCCTGGTGCAGTGCTTGCTTGTCAGGGCAGGCAGGCCTTATGCAGCTGAGGCAATCCAATTGTAGGCTGAAAGTTGCTCAGAATATTTTGATATTACGATTATACAAAAAAGGGAGGTCATAACACAAGTTAGCATGGAAAGTCTGATCTTTCAGAGCTTTTCCAGAGCTACCCGGAATCTGTCAGAAGGCTTCGCATAGCTTGTGTCAGCACTCCTCATTTAGAGCATCAAACCCAGCACCCTCAAGGCCTGAGAGACCTGTGAGCATGCAGATCCCATCTCAACACCCTCTGGCCCAGCAGCTGCCTTACTCAACTCAGCCCCACGACACGTTGCTGCTCGGGCATCTGCTCGGGAGGTTGTGCTGCCTGGACAGACTTCCCCGCATATCCTTCTGGGCATCTCCAACAAACTTTTCCTCAAAGGTCACCTTAGTGAGGCCCACACTGACCACATTAAGAAGCAACTGTCCTCCCTGTCCCCACACTCTGGGCAGGATTATGTGAGGGTCGGGCTATAGGGAGAAGCAGCAGAGCGAACAGAAATCCAACAACATTATTTAAGAAGAAAATTACCTGATCCTCCTCTCTAGTAATACCAGAATTTGGTTCTTTAAAAAAGATGTGGAAGAGATGGAAAGAATAATCCAGAACACAGCCCAAAAATGAGACCAAAACAGGATGAGTTTGGAAATCAGTCTCTACCACCAGACACTACTGTGAGCAGGGCCTGTGGGGACAGTGACAGATGTCCCTGCTGCTCAAGAGACACCCAGAGGACATGAGGCCCGGTCTGAGCCATGGAAAAGAACAGGCATAAAGCAATAAAACCAAAATAAAGTGTAGACTCACAGTGTGATAGCCGAGGCCCAGCCCTGGCCTGAGCCCCGGTTGGCCCGGCCACTTGCAGCCCTCACCCACCTTCCTGGGAAAGGACAGGCCCAGGTGGTGTCTGCATCCCGGTGACCACAGGCCCTGCTGGGACAGGTGCTACTGAGGGACAAGGACAAAGGTCAGAGAGATGACTCCTGAGGAATGACCACATCACATCACGATGCCCTGAGCACTGAATGAACACAGGCCCCATACACCTCGGTCCTTCACAGCCTCTCCTGCCCCCAACTACAGACTCAGCACAGAAAACACAGTTCTGGCTGGTCCTCATGACTCTTCGTTATTGATTCTCAAATTTTAGCAGTCTTGCTAACTAACCGTTCACGCCCACATGATGAAGTTAAAAAATAATTCCCTATCTGGATTATTATTTTCAACAGGGAAGTGGGCACTACTCCTTAGGAAAACACAAAATGCAGGCAGGGATGGAGCTCTGCTGGAGCAGGACAGTCATCAGAATAGAACACAGGTGCGTGTGGGGAGGGGGACGTACTGGCCAGGGGTCGGGCAGGCTCCCACCACCTCACATGATCTAATAAGGACACACAAACCCAGGCAGATGCCCTATGCAGGAAGGAAGCCAGTGGATGTTGAGGCCACAAAGTTAAGATGAGAAGAAACCCTGCATCACTCAGTCTCCACAGGCAGTTGCCTCACAATGTGAAGGAGAATGACCAGGAACAAAGTCAAGGAATCACATCAGGGCCGATATTCTCCATAGCCCACCCATCCTCAGACTGTCCCACTCATGGCTCCCCCATAACCTAGTCCCTCCTCTCTGCCCCAGCCCCTCCCTCACAGGTGTTAGGGTCCCACCTTAAGGGGCTGAGACACATGTCAGGGCCCTGGGCACTGTCATTGCCTGGCGGAGAACAACACAGACCCTGGTCAAAGCCACGAGAGAGGAGACCACAGGAGGGAGTGATGGGGTGACTCCCCCAGGGGCTCCATCTACACTGTCCAAGGGGCTCTGATTTACACTTTACTGCAGCCTGAGTGTAGCCTTCTGCTTATCCCTTTGTAGGAAGAGACATCATGTGAGACCAGGGAGAGTCAGATCATGAAGTCCTAAAGGAATTCCTAAGTCTGGGACACAGGGAAGTTTCTAGAACTGTGACTGATGACCAGGTCAGGTCTGGGAAATATGAAGAGTGGATATGAAAGGGAACTGGAGTCTGTCCTTTCCTTAGTGTAAGATATATGCTGGGAATCAGATCCCCATTACTAGAATGACAATGTGCATAATTGGTGATTCATTTTCATAAGTGATTTACAAAAGAATGAGGGTCAGCAATCAGCTCAAATGGGGCAACAGAGTGTGTGAATGATACATCCTACTAACCAGGTGGGGCAAGTTCTCCCTGGGACTTGAAAGCCCCCAGTGGACAGGATCCCCCACTCACTCCCTACCTGAGCACTTCTTCCTCCACATCACAGCTGCAGCCACCACAGCCCCAGTGAGCACAGCTCCAAGGAGAATCAGGCCAGCAATGAGGTCCCCAGTGGTGGTGGAGGACTTAGGAGCGGGCTCTGGAAAGGAAGGGAGGTGAGACCCTGAGCCCTAGGCCTAATCCTGACCCTCTGAAGGTCCCCAGAAGGGATCCTGATGCCCTCTGAGAACAGGTTCTGTGCCCACATCCCCTCCTCACCCCATCTCAGGACTCGGGGCTCCGGCAGCCCCTCATGCTGCACATGGCACATGTATCTCTGCTCTTCTCCAGAAGGCACCACCACAGCCACCCACTTCTGGAAGGTTCCATCCCCCCCAGGCCTGGTGTCCACCAGCTCTGTGTCCTGGGTTAGGTTCTCCCCATCTCGCTGCCAGGTCAGGGTGATCTCCGCAGGGTAGAAGCCCAGGGCCCAGCACCTCAGGGTGACCTCATGGTCTGAGATGGGGTGGTGCGTTATGTGTGTCTTTGGAGCATCTGAGAAGAAGGGCATGAACATTCACACTTTGGGGTTTTCCCTCGTGGACCCTGGAAAAGCCTCCTGTGACCATCCTCAGAATGGACAGGGCAGTGGGTTTGTAAGAGCAAGAACTCAGTCTAGCCTGGGCTGGGGAGTCTGGGGTAATCACTTATTCCTTAGAAAGTTCTAGAATTAGGGAGATAGCTCTGCATAGGAGGACAATCTCTAACAAGGAGAACCCAGGCTTTTGCTCCTGACCAGGGGACTTAGAAAATCAGGAGTCAGATCAGAAAAATGTCCTTACCAGTAAGACCTTGGTGACTGCCGGGTAAAAAAGATCCCGTGCAGGTGAGCTCAGGGCTGGTTTCCCCTCAGCTCAGGAGAGACTGGACTCCTCAGCTGTTCTGAAGAAAAGTTGGGTCCTCTGGGACAGTCAGGAGTGGGGTGGGGTGGGGGTCCTTCTTCCCTGACCAGAGGGGTTCGCTGCTGTGACCCTTACTCTACTCTCCCCATGGGGTGGGGGCCTGAGGAAGATGAGGAGACCACTCACCCCTCTTACCTAAGTGCTGCAGCATCTCCCTTCCGTGCTCCAGGTATCTGCGCAGCCAGTCCACGCACGCCCCCTCCAGGTAGCTCCTCACGACCTCTGCTATTCCTTCAGCCTCCCACTTGCGCTTGGTCATCTGAGCGGCCACGTCTGCCGCGGTCCAGGAGTGCAGGTCCCGGTTCAGGGCGATGTAGTCGGCGCCTTCGTAGGCTAACTGACTGTACCCGCGGAGGAGGCGCCCGTCGGGCCCCACGTCGCAGCCGTACATCCTCTGGAGGGTGTGAAACCCTGTCCCGCAGCGTCAGCCCGGCGGTCACGCAGCCGGCACCCACCTCCTCAGGGAGTAAACAGAAACTGACCTAGGGGCGACGGCCCCGCCCGCTCTTTCGGGGTTCGGGCGGGACCACTAATCTCGGAGTGACGATCGGACCCGGGGTCCGGGGTTCCCGACCCTCCGTGGTGGGCGTGACCTGGCCCCTGACCGCCCGCTCACCCTCCTCGCTCTGGTTGTAGTAGCGGCGCAGGTTGCTCAGGCTGTCTCTGTACACCGGTAAGTTGCTCCTGAGGATCCGCGTCTGCTCCTCCCAGTACTCCGGCCCCTCCTGCTCCGCCCAGGGCGCCCGCGGCTCCGCGCTCTGAGTCGCTGAGGCGCTGTCGAACCGCATGAACTGCGTGTCGTCCACGTAGCCCACCGCGACGTAGCGGGGCTCCCGGAGGCCGGGCCGGGACATCGCGGTGTAGAAATACCTCAGGGAGTGGGGGCCTGGGGGCGGGAGGCAAAGTCCTGGGTAAATCTTACCCTCATCCAGGCGCTGCTTCAGGGGAGGCCGGGAAGGAGGGGAGGAGGGCGAGGCGGCTAGCAAGGTCGTTAAGGGGCGGCGGGACTGTGAGGGTAAGTGAGGCTCAGGTACCGCGAGGAGGGTGGGTGGAGGGGTAGGAAGTGGCCAGGACTGGGTGGGGTGAAGGGCGACCACAGAGCCAGCAGTGGCATGGCAGAGACGCACCTTTCCAGGGGTTCTGCTGGGGGGACCTACCCCATCCCGAGGTTCCTCAGGTTCCCCCCTCTTCCTAGTCCTTTTCCCTCCGGAGCCCGCACTCACCCTTCCTGGTCACAGGCAGGGTCAGGACCCCTGAGAGCAGCACCAGGAGGAGTTGGGGCCTCATAACTAGAGCTCTTGCGTCTGTGGAGAATCTGCCTCTCTGCAGGTGGGTGGAGACTGGGGCCTGCTGATTCTCTCTGCAGGTGGGTGGAGACTGGCTGCTCTGGGAAACTCCCCAGGCAATGGGGAAGTGAGAACTGGGGTGAGTCACCAGGATTCAGGAAGGAGGACCAGACTCAGGTTGTGAGAGGGAAAAGTGAAACTGCCAAGATGGAGAAAAACTATACAGTCCCACTGAAATAAATGACAGTAGTTTTTTTTATTACCTACAGACAATTGAATATTCTCCTTTGTTACACTTGGACAATAAATTGAAACTGTATAATTTCAATTGTGCTGGTCTTTCAAGTGTTATTTGCAAAGTGAAACAATATCATTGAATAGTTTCTATTGTTACATTAATTCCATAGGCCTCTCTTGATTTTTTAAAACAGGTGCTTCTAAGGTTGTATTGATTATAATATTTTTCCTTTTGCTTGGGTTGATAACGTAAGGAAAATGGAAATTGGAAAAAATTAAGGTTTCTGAGGACAAAGAGTCTCTAGTTACAAAGGAAAAAAAAGGTTATGGTTTGATTGTTAATATTGCACTACTCACTGAGCCGGAGCTTTCATAGAGATTGAGATTGTTGTTGCTGTCTTTTTTTTTTTTTCATATTTGTGACAAATATGAAAATATGAACATTTCTTCCTTTCCAGAAGGAAAGGAAGAAATGTTGTGGAGTGTCTCAGGAGATCTACTGAGGTTCCACAAAATTCTGGGAAGAAAGCTTCCCAGAATTCTTAATTTGAAGTAAAATTTAGTAGCCTATTGTTTGGTTCATCAAAGGAAATTTTGTGGAACCTCAGTAGAGCTCCTGAGACACTCCACAACATTTCTTCCTTTCCTTCTGGAAAGGCACTTAGATCAATTTGGACTTTTTGGTTTACCTAGTAAAGAAAAATGATGGAAAGGAAGCATTGTCACTTGGGAAAAACGTGGAATATGGCATGAACATAAATGTCAATATTGGTTTTCTGAAAAGTGCATAAAAACCTTTTGATATCATATGTTGTAAGTTGTAAATATGATTGTTGTCCTGAAATATTATATTCACTGGTTTGGCATTTGCAGAAATGGCTTCTGAAAAACAAAATGTTTACAGAAAAAGAACTCAACTGATTCCAATTGGTAGAAATTTTCACAGTGAAAAAGATTTTCTACAAAGAGCTGTACAGACTGATTTTTGTT